TCGTATATAATTATATATATATACGATATATATATATAAATATAAAAATATATAATTTTTTCATTTATGTTTTTTTTGGCAGTTCTTCTATATTTCTGATACAGTCATAACTTTCTCTCTAGATCAAAGAATAAAATAACTTTTTTTTTTTAACAATAGTGTAGGTTGTTGAGTTGTTACTTCTGTGAGTATAAAGGGGTTTATTGCAGATTTCATCCTAAGTTTGTAGAAAGGCACTGTATTAGTCCACTTGGAGAAGCTCTAATAAATGGTGTTTTTTTCAGTATGTCACTTGCCAAAAGTCAGCTCTGATGAAGTCATCCTTGGACTTAACTGCTCTGAGTTACAAGTCCTTCTGCAAAAAATAATTTTTTACCCCCTGGTCAATTACTTTTTAAAGACTCATCTGTTAAGTAGTGATGGTACAAAAGAGTAGTTTCTCTTCTGACATATAGAATAAACTGAGATGGGTAAAGAAACAGAGGGAAAAAAGCCACAAACTACTGAACAATTACATGCCTGAGATTGCACAGGAAGTTCATAATCAAGTGTGGAACTCTGGTCTTACCCACTAACTAACTTGTGCTGCTGTCGTGTGTCCATCCTGTCCCCTCTGTCTCCCCCTTTTTAATAACTATTTGAGTTTTCTTTCCTTCTGATCTGGTATTTTAGCAAAGTTGCTCCTTTACAGTAAGCAAGAAGTAGATTTTCAGGTTAGTTCTTCACCATTATTTACTATACAGTGAAAAATACAGATATTGTTGCCCTGAGAGGTGGTAGATGCCCCATCCCTGGAAACATTCAAGGTCAGATTGGATGGGGCTTGGAGCAACCTGCTGTAGTTAAAGATGTCCCTGCTTATTGCAGGGGGGTTGGACTAGATGACCTTTAATGGTCCCTTCCAACCCAAACCCTTCTATGACTCTATGATTATATTTTATCTACTCTATAAATTATAATAATAGGGGAAATGTTGTATAAAGTAATATTGGAATTATACATATATCATAAACAGTAGGGCTGATTTTTAGTTTTAGCTAAAACCTACAAAGTTACATTTCCTAATCTTTTCCAAGTGCATAGAAGAAATGAAACGTGAAGCCAGACCTATTAAGATTGACAGAAGACTGACAGGTGCAAATATAATTGATGAGCCTTTGCAACAGGTAAGTTCTAACCAGGACTATTTAACCTATGTTTATTTTTGCAAGTATTGACTATGTAATATCTAAGTAGTTGAGAGATAAATAAAAGTTGAGAAATTTTATCATGCTTGAGAGTGGTAAGTGAAAAACCATTCAGTATGGGCCAGAATAATGGGCAATATTTGAGTCTGTTTTCTGTGTATTAGAGTTTCTCAGCGTAGCGGTGATGAATGCATGTAAACCAACATGAAAAAGAGGTTTCAGTATGTGAGTTTATATTGTTTCATTCACGATTTCATAACAGTCGGGGAGTATGGTTCACTATGTTAACATTTTAAGAAGACCGCTGTTGCATTATCAGGCACAAAAAGCTATTTTATATTTTTTCGTCTTTTGTTAATTTGTTCATCTTTATTTTTTTCCTTTCCAATTTTAGGTAATCCAGTTTTCCCTGAGAGACTATGTGCAGTATTGGTATTACACACTAAGTGATGATGAATCATTTCTTCTGGAAATCAGGCAGGCTCTTCAGTATGCACTTGTTCAGTTTTCTGCCAGGTAAGATTATTTGTATTTACATCAATACACTGTCTAAGCAAGGGGACAAATACCTCTGTGGGTTGTATGGTAGTAGATAAATTATTAAGTTTTATCTGT